GGGGGGGGGAGATGCAAGCAATAGTAGCACCACTGCTACCCACCAATGAATATTTTATTTAGTAGACTATTTCATTTGGGGGTCATATATGAAGGTGGTAGATGTTAAATTCTACTGATAACTTTAGATTAATAATACTGAAAAAGTAATTTTACTATAAACAAAATTTAGCTTCTGAATGAAGTTGTCTTTATTCTAGCCCCCTACACACAAAAGGGATACGAATCTAGGGATAGGATTCTTAAAGGAAAAACATTTATTATTAGAAAAAAATATACTCACGATCTTATCTGGGGAAGATCTGTTTCTATTTTGTGGCCTGTATTTCTAAAAATTTGTATAGCAGCTTCTGCTACTTTGTCATCTTCCATTCTCAGGCACTGTAACAGGGACTCATATGTCTCTGCAGAGTGGAACGAGGTAGGATGTGTGAAAGACAGTACCTGGAGGAATAGATACAGCTTTAGAAGTACAGACAATAATTTAAATTCAGAAAACCTCTAAAAAATACAAATAAATTATAGTCTGCTTATTCTAGCTGCACAGAATAGAGACAACATGCCCCAGTCTGCTCTTGTAGTTAATTGAGGCTACTGTGTGGTAACTTCCAGGTAGTTCTTTATGACAGTAGATATACAGCTTTTGTCCTTTTTAATCTTTCCTCTCTTCTAGTGTGTGACTTGGAATGTACAAACATGGCTGCCTTATTTTTAGAGTGTGATATTGCAGTGTTAATAATTCTATAGTTTTATAAATATACATTTGTATTTAAATAAGGAATGCTTACTCAATATAAAAATTCAAAACTTATTAATCCAATTTTTATATGATGTGTACTAAGAGTTTACTGTGAGCTTTATTTGACTGGTCAAAATATCCTATAAAGAAAGAAATCCATCACCCAAAAAATCCATTTACTATAGCTATCAACAAAGAAGCCATTATTGTGAATTTTTATTTTATTTTTTTTTTATATTGTGAATTTTTAATTACAATTATATACTGTTAAATATTCCCAATGTGGAATCAGATGTTACGTACATGCATATTACATACATGCAGTCCCAGTACAATCTAGTTAAATTCTTACAAAGATTAAATTAAAAACCTGATGGTAGTCTGATGGACAAAGCTTGAGAGCTGTATCCACGGATATGGGAGGGGTAGACTTGGTGGGTATGTGGTTGGGCTGGTTGATGGACCCAAACTTTGCTGCATGTTTGGGTGTAGGAGGGGATCACAAAGAGGTGGGCACAGCGCCTGGTTGTGGCCTGGACTGCCACTACCTGATTGATGTGACTGCTTCCTGATCATGAGCAGCTGCTGTTGGGAGTCAGGAGCTTGTGGTATGGGTAGAGGAGCTGCTGCAGGAGTTGTCTTGTGCTGAAGTGAAAGCCTGCTAGGCTGCTGGGCTGCTGAATGATGCCAAGAGGAAAGGAAGGAGGTGGGAGAGGGAGTAATGGGGTTTAGATATGCCCTGGAGTCCAGCAACTTGTTCATGCTGAGGATCTGGGATCTTTCAAACCACTGTTGTTTGGTGCTTGAGTTGACTCAATAGCAACCCCAGGTACAACAGAACAAGACACTGTCAGTCATGTGGCATCCTCACAATGGCCTCACATTGTTGTATCCGTGGTGTCAATCCAATCCAGCTTGCAGAGGGCCTTTTACTTCTTCACTGCCCCTTTACTTTACCCAAGATTTTTGTCCTTCTCCAGGGACCAATCTTTCCTTTTTAATGTTTTTTTTTCATTTTCCACCATTTACTCGTGTTATCAAAAATAGTTCAACTCTTCTTGCCCAGTCTTTCCTTATAACATGTCTAAAGTATGTGAGATGAAGCCTTGCCATCTAAGGAGCATTCTGACTGTACTTCTTTAAAGACAGATCTCCTTGTTCTTTTGGCAGTCCATGGTACTTTCAATATTTTTTGTCAGCACCAGTTACAGTTTTGGAAAGTCACAGGAGCAGTTCTACCTTGTCCTATAGGGTTACTAAGCATTCTACTTGATGGCAGTGAATTTGAGTTATGAGAGGAGCAGCAGCAGCAGCAGCAACAACAACAACAAATCCAAAGAGAAGCCAAGAATTATGTAGTATACTATCAAGAGAAATAAATTACGTGTGACTGGAATTCCAGAACAGGAAGAAATACCAAAAACCACAGATCAAATTATCAATGAGTTGTAGAAAAAAAACTTGCCTTAAACTCATGAAAGATAAGAGATAGTGCATTCAAATGTTGAAAGAACCCCAAACAGGTTAGGCTTCAGAAGAAAAGCACTATGATATATCATACTCAAACTTTTCAAAACCAAAGGCAAGGAAAGAATCCTAGTAAGAGTTTGAAAAGTGAAACGTTACTTACAGAGAAACCATTAAGACTAAACTCTAATTATTAAGCAGAAATCATGCAGGCAAGAAGGCATTGGGATGTTATATACATATAAAATTTTGCAAGGAAAACAAAAAGCAAAAGGCTAACCAAGAATCACATATTCAGTAAAACTGTCCCTTAAATACAAGGGTGAAATCAGAACATTTCCAGATGCCAGAAATGAAAGGAATTTGTAAACACTAGAGCAATCTTCAAAGAAATACTAAAGGGAGTTCACGACAGAAAAATCAACAATAGAAGATAACTTGAGATTAACAAAAATAGCAACAGTCATAAATCAACCTGGATATAAAAGTATCCAAAAGTAAGAAACCTACAAGACTGAAAACAGAACCAGAAATATATTAATTTGTAATGATGACAATTACAAAGTAAATAAAGGGGATAGTTTAGAATTTTCAAATGAAGAGGAAATCAAGATATCAAGATAGAACACAGACTTAAATTTGGGAAGAAAATAAATTACAGGGCAATCTCAAAATGAATAAACTCCATCAAAATAAAACCCAAAGATTTAGTACACAAACAAAAACAATGAAGAAATTACATGAACAGTTTTAAGTCAGCACAGAAATTTATATGAAATAAATCAGCAACATCACAAAGAAACACATAGTAAAATGGTGGCAATACATTCGTACCTATCAATAATTACACTGAATGTAAACGGATTAAATGTGCCAGTCAAGAGATGGAGAGTAGCAGAATGGATAAGAAACAAACCCCACCAATTTGTTGTTTACAAGAGACACACTTTAGATGCAAAGACAAACAGACTAAAATTAAGGAAGGAAACAAATATATCAAACTAAGAGCATCCAGAAAAAAAGCAGCAGTTACAATATTAATTTCTGATAAAATAGATTTTAAAGCAAAATTCATAATAAGAGATAAAGAAGGACATTATACCATGATTAAAAGTCAACTGAAAAAGAGGATTTAACCAAAATGAATATCTATGTAAAGAACCTCAAAATACATCAATCAAACATAAACTTGAAGAGAAAAATAGATAACTCTACAATAAAAGTTTTTGTTATTAATACACTACTTTTGACGAAGGATGGAACAAATAGAAATAAACAAAGACACAGAAGAATTAAATAATACAATCCACCATAGACATACAGAACACTTTACCCAATAACATATGACATTTTTTCCAGCGTACATGAAACATTCCACTGCATGTGGACCAACGAGCAAACCTCAATAAATCTAAACCCACTGAGATAATACAAAGCATATTCTCATGACAATGCTATAAAATAAGAAAATAAGATGATTAAGGGAGAAAAATCAAATACATGGAAATTGGATAACACTCTGCTTAAAAATTACTGAGTAATAGAACAAAAATAAAATTTAGTTAAAAGTAGACTAAACAATTGACCAAGCAATACTAACTTGTTATGAATAGTGTAGCAAAGAATGTGGGAGTGGACATGTCTCTATTCATCTTATGGCAATTACTACTTTAGGGTATATACCCAGCAGAGATGTGGAATTCCTATTCCACGGTGTTTGAGGCAGTGTCATATGGCTTACTACAATGGTTGTACAGGCCCACAAGCAAGGTATGAGAGTTCCCACTTCTCTGCACTCTCCCCAGCATTTTTTAAAAATAAATTGGGTTGTCAGTGCAAGTTTCCTTGTTGTTTTGATTTGCATCACCTGAATGGCTAATAATTCTGAGCAAGCATCTTTTTACCTGTTTGTGAGTCATTTGGATGTCATTTTTTGTTAACTGAAGTCCTCTGCCCACTTTTTAATTATTGATTTTATTTTTAAGGTATTGCAATTTCATTACATTTCAGAGATTTGTCCCTTGTCTGTTGTGTCCCCGGGCATCTGTTGTCTTCCACGGTTTGTGCTTCCTTCATATTTGACAGTATGTCAATGCCTTGCAAGAGGGACCCTTAAGCTTGTCCCTATTTTTTCACTAATGCTCATTATAGCTCTGGGACTTACAGATGCATTTTGATCCATCTTGAATTCACCCTCACATGGGGTGAGGTTTGGGTCCAGTTTCATTTTTCTGTAGATGGAAACTTGCCCTTTTATTTCTAGGTTTTCTAATTGGTTCCATGGGTTTATACCCATTATTGTACTATTACCAGGCTGTAATACTACTGTGGCTCTGTTTAACAGACTTTGAGGTCCGGTAGTGACAGGCCTTTAAATTTGTTCTTCTCTTTAAAAAGTTCATTGTTTATTTTGGGTCTCTTCCATTTCCACATAAAGCAATTAGTTTTTCCATTTCCTTAAAGAATGTAGTTAAACAACAAAATCCACACGTGATGTAGGGAAACTTATCAGATCTTAAATTGTGAACACCCAATCTATAGCAGGCTATGGATGACAGTGGGAGTCCAAAACTCATCTGCAGAGTATCTAGTCAGATTTAGGTCTCTGGCAGATCCCGTCTAACCGCAGCAAGGGTCTTAATCAGCTTTACTATAAGACAGAGAGCACTGTAAACTTGATTATACTGGACTGACTCAAACTTGATATGTGATCAGTTGGCTTCTTTTTCTTGACCCAACCTGAATCTGTTCTAGGCTCTAGTATTTCGTGCTTGATCCATGACAACAATTTCTTCACTGTCTTTTAAAATATTGACAGTACTCTTTTCTTTCTTACTCATTATTTATATTTTTATATTATTATATTATTATTTAATCCATAACACTTTATTTTGTTTGTTATTGGTAGTTTTCCCAGTTTGTAAAGCACGGAAGTAGATGAATAGACACACTAATTGATGCAATGGTTTATAGAGGATGTGAAGTGGGAAACAGGGAGGGTGAGGGGATTTGGGGAGCAAGCAATAAATGTGAGAGGGGGAGGAGGAACTAGGACTGATTGTGATTATATGATTCATTTTAAAAGTGATTTAACCATGAAAGTATATGAGATTTGAATACTTCATCAAGAAAACCACAGGGGATGGGGAGGTGGTGGAGAACGAAACTTGTCCAATTTGTCCAATGGTTACCATAGGTGAAGGGGAAAGAATTGTTGTATAGGGTACATTGAGTTAAT